GCTTCCGAAAAGCATGGGGGAATGGGATTTGGGAGCGGGCAAAGTGCGGGCAGCAGTGGGCTGCCTGCCCCAGGGAGGCAGGCACGGGGGGGGGGGGGGATCCTGCTGCCGGGGGTGCTGCCCACCCCAGGGACACAGGCCGGGGGGGTGCTGCTGCCTGCCCGTCTGCCGGTGCCGGAGGAGAACCGGTGGCCAGGCCAGGCTGGGGTTGTGCAACCCCCCCGCAAGCCCCGGGGAAGACACGGGTTGCACAAACCCACTGGCTGAACCAGCGCCGGGCGGGTGCCCCCACCGCACCGGGCACCCGTGTGTAACCACCCGGTCCCCGGGGCTGGCAGGTCCCAGCTGCACCCCCAGACCCACGGAGGAGGCCGTGGGGGCCCACGGCAGGGTTTGGAGGTTGTCCCTTGTCCCTAAAGGGGGGGGGAAATAGCTGTTGGGTGAAACTCCCAGCTTCCCGCAGAAATAACTGGAGCTGCTGGGCAGGTGTTGGAGGGGATTTAAGCAGCCGGAGGGGTGATGGCTTCTTTTAAGATGCTTCCTCGGCTGCAGAGCTGGGGGCAAACCCCAGCCTGGCAGAGCAGGCAGCTCAGCTCTGTCGGGCCTGTACAGCTCTGCCTGTTTCCTCCAGCTTCAAGAAATGGATGAAAAAAGCCTCCCCTCCAGCTCCCCTCCTTCCTGAGATCTTTCACTAATTAACTGGTGGGGCTGCTACCAGGCTTAGCCTCCTTCAGGCAGGTTGATTGGGCATGCTCCTGGCTGCTGCCCTGCCTGCAGCAGGCAGGGATGCCTGCCCAGTGCACCCCAGCCGTGTGTGGTTTGGGGTGCGTTATCCTGCCCCAGGCTCTGCCTGCAGAACCGGCAGGGGAGGCGCAGGCAGGGGCTGCCTGTTCTCCATCTCGCCTGCCCTGCAAACCGTAACCTGCCTGCGCTCCCAGGGCCCCTTAGACTTTGTCCTGTGAGAAACGTGGCCGTTGCAGATGTGTCCTGCCCCAAAGCTGGGCAGAAAACCTAAAATACTGAAGTTTTGCATTGAATGTGCCCACGAGTCTCATCCCAAAGCTTTCCTTTTGATCTGCCTGGTTTTGCTGTTTCCGGGCTGGGGCTGATTTGGGTGCGCTGCTCCTGGGAGGGGATCCCAGCTCTGAGGAAGCCTGACCTGCTCCCAGTTGGCAGAGGGTTTTGTCCCAGCCCTGGGGCACCTCAGAGATGTGGTGGGGGCCAGGGCTGCTCCAGCAAACCCCAGTGCTTGGCCTGCATCCCCCTGCCCTGTGCCTAACTGGATTTCAGTTCAATTTTCCTGGTATTTCAGCAATTTTGGTGGCAGCCTTTTTATTTTAGAGACTGCACTCGGTGCTGAGGATGGATGGGAGACGGGCAGCCCATGCTTTTCCTTGGGGAGCTCCCCTTGCTTGCACCCCTCTGTGCAGGAACCCCCTCTCCCGGTGGCTGGGTCCCTTTCGGTCCCCTCCCCTGGGGACAAGGCTGAGCGGGGCTGGCTGGCTGCAACTGTGCCCCTGGCCTTGCCGGGGCTGTGGGCGAGCGTGTATGCTGTGGAGCAACCCTGGGGCAGCTGGACAGCCCCTGTCCTTGCTCCAAACCGTGGTGGGAAGAACCGCCTGCCCCCCTCACCCCTGCCTTGCTTCCCCCACCAGCCCAGCCCAGAAACTCGTCTTCAACAGAGTGAACGGCAAGAGGCCGCAGGTGCTGCCGCAGCAGGTCTCGGCCCCTGAGGAGTGCTACACGCTGGCACATGAGGAGAACGTCCGCTTCATCTATGAAGGTGAGGGCAGAGGGTCCCTGGGGGCAGGCACCCGTTTGCTGTTGCATCCCCGGGGGGGTCTGGAGCATGTGGGGTCCTTTTTGAGGCAGCTACATCGTGCTGGGGACCTCAGTGGCAGGGATAGGGTCCCCAGCCTGGGTACCTGCCCTCCCTTGCCACTGGCTCCTGCTCCTCTCCCGCAGCCCCCCCTGGGCTGGGAAATCTGTATCCCAAAACTATCCACTGCTTGTTCCTCCCCCCACCCCACCAGCCTGGCAGCAGGTAGAGCAGCAGTTGGATGGCAGCCGGAGCGGGGAGAGCGCCTGCGGCCCCGTGCAGTACATAGAGAAAACCCCCAACCCCGGACTGAAAAGTAAGTGGGAAGCAGTGGTGGCACTCAGGGGGTGCAATGAGCTGGTGTGGGCTCAGCCAGGCACCTGCGCAGGGCTGTGATGGGAGGAGGAGGATCTCCATGCTGGAGGGGCTGGGTTGGGTCTGTCCTGCCGGTGCTGAGGCCGCTGAGGAGGGGGTCCTGGGGGGGGCAGCTGGCCCCTGGCACTGTGGTGGGGATGTCCTGCTGTGCCCCGTCGGAGGAGCCCAAGCAAGCAGGATGCCTGGTTGATGACTCTTCTGGAAATCGTGCCTTCTGCAGCCACCGAGGTGGGTTCAACATCATGGGCTGGAGAGGAGCCCCCCGGGTCCTGCCGTGGGGACCTGCCTCTCCTGGGGCCAAGCGGGACCAAGCCAGAGCACAGCGGGCATGGGGACAATGTGCTTCTCTGATGGCAGCTGGAGTAAGGGCTCTGAATGCAGCCTGGGGGGGTCCTGCAGTGGCCAAGAAGTCCCCAAGAAGAGAAAGTCCCTGTAAACCCAGCCTGGCCTTTTGGAGACAGGGCACGGGAGTGCGGGAAATTTTGGGGTGTCATTTTTTTCCAGTGGCAAATGGTATGGCTCAGGGGGAGCACACGGAGCTCTGCTCCAGCTGCTCTGCTACGCTCTCCTTTCTCCCTCCCCTCTCTTTCAGACTTTGTTCCCATTGACCTGGAGGAGTGGTGGGCACAGCAATTTCTGGCCAAAATTGAAAACTGCTCATAAAAGGGAAGAAAGGTTTGGGTTTGGGTTTTTGGGGGGGGATTTTTTTTTTTTTTAAGAGAAACGGAGTTGAGAGTATCTGGTCAGAACCCAGAATTGGTGGCATTTTAGAACCACATTTTTAAAAGATGACTGAAATCAAGTGACCCTTGCTGCCAGCCCAGCGAGGCCAGCGGGACCGGACCACAGCCATGCCTGGCTGCACACCCCCTCCCTGTGCCTGGTGTGGAGGAGCAGCGTGTGGCCCCAGCCAGGATTCCTTAAGTGCCAGTTCTCGGACCGCTGCAGCTCCTGCAGCCTCCAGCTCCCAGGGACACTGTGGTGCCATGCTGGGGATGAGGGAGCGGATCCCCCCCTGCGGCCGTAGCCACAGGGAGGACAGTGGGGTGCTGTAGCAGGACTGCCAGACAATAAAGCGCTGAAACTGCCAGTGGAGAGACATTTGCGGGATGGGGAGGATGTGTTTGCTGGAGGTGGTGAAGCAGCTGGGGGTGCAGCATCGTGCCCTGGGCTGGTGTGGAGTGGGGCATTCCTGTGGAGTGGGGATGCTCATGGCTGTGCCCTGGAGGTGAAGGGCTTGGAGTATCTCCCTGTCTTCCCTGGAGCAGCATCCTTGCCCCAGTGCTGCCTCATCTCCCTGGGCTCAGCCAGGGGCTGATATTGCCTTGGCTGTATGTTTGGGACTGGGGGGGGACACATGTGGGCCTCTGCAGGTGACATGGGCAGGGAGGGGGCTGAGCACCCTGGCTGTAGTTCAGAGGTGGGCTGCGGGGGGGGGGGGAAAGCTGCAGGAATGAGGGTGCCAGGGCCAGCCCCCCTCCTCCCACCATGGAGACCCTTGACATGATTGCTCTGACAAAAGCCATTTTGACCCCCAAGCTCAAGATCTTCCCTTTGCCCATGGCTGTTGGGTACAGTGGGGGGCTAAAAGAGGGTGGTTGTGGCTGCCTGTGGTGGAAGAGAAGGGGGACACCCCCCCCTCCCCCCCCCCGCTCCCCGAGGCACCTGGCCCACAAAAAAGCCCTCAGCCCATGGGCTTTTCCAGGCTGGACTGACCCTTCCAGATCAGGTTTTGGAGGACACCCCCCCCCTCCCACCTTTCCCCATGTCCTCTCCCCAACACAGAGCAGGAGGTCAGCACAGCTCAAGCCCACCAGGGCTGGAGTTGCTCTCTGACTCCAAAGGAGGCCAGAAAACACCCACTGGAAAAAAAAAAAATCATTTTTATTATTCCTATGATGGTAATAACAACCACACTGCAGCCAGAGGGGAGCAGCAGCTGCCTAGGACCTGTGATGCTTCGCCCACTGCACGTGGCCACCCCAGCCTGGAGGCCAGAGTGTTGCCAAGAGCAGCTGTGACCCTGCCAGCACAAAACCCGGCTGACCCCCAGCAGCAGCGCCGATCCGGTGGGCAATCCTGGTCCTGCCTCTTGCCCCCGGGGCTGGTGCGACTGGGCACTGCAGCTGTAACCGAAATAGTGAGCAGGCACAGCTGGCAGGTCCTGCCTTGGTGAGAGGGGAGGGTTGTTACAGCACCATATGACCAAAAAATGCTGCTTTGTTAAGGTTTTCTTTGTTTAGGCCAAGATGGCCCCAGCAGCGGTGGGCTGGTGCCAGGGGCTGCCATCCTTGTCATTGGCTCCTCTACCATGACGTTCATGGGCGTTGTGGGGGCTATGGTGCATCTGTGCCACCTGCCCCAGGACCAAGCCTTGCAGGGAGGTCACCAGTACCCCAATGGGACAGATGCTGGGGCAGGGGGCGCGATTTTGGCGCTCCTGCCTATTGCTGCTGTGCTCAGGGTGCTGCCAGCCCATGGCAATTTGGCATCTCACCCTCCTGCAACCCCCTCTTTCCCACTGCTCCCTATCCCAGGCAAAGCTCTGGATGCTCTGCTACGTGCTGCCGTATCTCCCCTTCCAAAAAAAAAACCCCGTTACTGGGAGTCCTAGCATGTTCCTGGTGCATCCAGGCACCCTCCCATCAGAAAGCATCTCCCCCCTTTCCTTGCACAGGCACTGCCCTCAGGAAGGTTGCTGGTGCTGGGTTTTTCCCACTACATGGTGCCCCTGGCAGTGGCTGGCTCTGCTATGGGCAGGGATGCTCCCAGGGAACAAACCCTCCATGCCAGCAACTCTGAAGGGCTCCATGGCAGTCCAGGGATGCCATTCACCTGCTGGCTACGTACTAATAAAAACACACATCATTAAGATCCAGGGAAATTCTTAGTAACATGATGCACCATCGTTTTGAACAACAACGTTAGGCAAAGGGGAAAAAAATGGAACAGGAAAGAATGAGTCAGTCACAGGAACAAAACAAAAACCCAACCCAAAAATATAACCCAACCCCTGACAATGCAATCACTAGAAGGGAATCGGCACCCCTTGCCATAAATACTAATTCATTTAGTTATGTGCAATTGTGTGTATTACTATAGTGCAAATAGCTCTGCATTGATCGCGGAGCAGCCAGCCCAAAGGGGACTGCCCCAGGTGAGACAGGGACTAGTTAAGGACAGACAAGAATCAACACGGTTTAAAACAAACAAACAAACAAAAAAGCAACCCAGCCACTGGGAAACGCCAAAAAGAAATCCCAGTTGCCACCTCCGACTCGGCGCGGGCAGTGCTGGTGCCTAATGCACCGTGCCCAGCAGCGTCCCCCATGGCTGGGCAAGGGCAGGACAGTGCCTTTGCTCCCTGCCTGCTGCCGGAGCAGCCCGGCATGGTGCAGAGGGGATGGGGACGAGGAGGGCAACAGGGGACGGGCATGCTCTGGTTGGAGCTGCGGGGGGTGTAAGGGGAGAGCGCAGCAGGACATGGGCTCAGCAAGAACATCGCTGGCCTTCCAAACCAGTCCTGCGGCTGCATAGCACACTGCACGGCGGTGCTGCTGGTTAAACCTTTTTCATGGACGCAATAATGAGCCCAGCAGCGTCCCCAGGCACCCTGCAACACCTTTCACCCTTCAGCCCGAGCTCTGGTTCTGCAGCCGTACCCATCACATGCTGTAGCAAGGGCCTGAGCTCTGGGCATTTCTCCATTAACACATCCTCCCTCGTGCCCAGCGCCAGCACCCGGCACCGCACAGCCAGCTCCCCCTGCGCAGCTCGGGCCGGTGCCAGCTCCTCGGGCCAGGCTGGCCTCCACTCCTGGGTAAGCAGGCAGGAGGGGAACAGTGTTTTCTAAGCGGTTAAAGGAGACGGAGGCTCCTCCCTGCCACACACAGGGGACAGCCGGGAGGCTGGCCCTGTCCTCTCCAGCTAGACGCTAAGTGCTCCTAAGGGCAACCACGGCGCATCCTAATTAACCCAGCAAAGAACGGTTTGGATCTAAGCTATTTGACAGCCTCCTGTTATACCACGAGCAAACCACCTAACAATACACGTCGACATGCGGGCGAAGACCACGAAGCAGCGTCCTGATGGGTGCGAGCGTTGGGCAGGGAAAAGGGTCGGCGGGCAGAGCACGGTGCTGGAAGAGGACAGCATCCTACTCCTCTGCCAGCCCAATCCCCAACGCCCATCTCCACCCATCCAGGCTTCCCCCTGCTTTTTGGGCTTTTTTTTTCTTTTTTTGCTGTATAGATGGGAATGAAGGCTAGAGAGTGGAAGTGCCACATGCACACACACGCTCACACACACAGACGCGCGCCGGCACTGCGGTGGCACGCGATGCGCACGCACCACTTGCGTTCCCGACGGCAGAAGGTACGATGCCATCCTCTCCCCCCTCCCCGGTGAAAAGTTTCTTACATTTATACATTATTTAAGACACGCCGATATATAAATTACTGTCTCTCTATATACTATGTATAGGCAGCAGCGCCAGTCCATGACGAAGGGCACCAGTGGGGGCTTCTGCTCATTTCCCTCTGTCCTCTGTGTAGTGCTGGAAGCGAGTGAAGCTCATGAAGACTTGCTCCAGGGATATCTGGCTCACCGAATAGTCTTCCAAGCGATACTTCTCTTTGGCTTTCTCCAAGGCCCCGAAGACCTGCAAGGGAAGGCACGGCAGTTATTGCAGGGTACCTCGGCTACCGTACCGCAAGTTGCGACTGAGAAAGCAGAGGCAGCTTTTTCCTCCAGGGAGACCTGGGGGAAGCGATACCTTCCCTGGCAGGAGGGCGGTGGGAAGCCAGGAGATGGACTATTTAGCAGAGTACCTGACCCCATTTAAAAATATATGTTGTGTGTATGTATATTTTACATATATATCTAAGATACATACATACACATATATATATACGTATGGTTTTTTATATATATCCCCGGGCTGGGATCCCAGCCCGAGGTTTCTGCTCAATACATTATATATATAAAATATATATATAATATATAAAAACTATATGGTATAACATATATAATCTATACATTAACTATCTGTATATAGTATACAGCTAGTTTTTATATATTTAGTATATATAGTTTTTATATAATCTGTATACTATGTCCTCTATATAGTATATATACTCTATACTGTATACTATACACTATACTATACACTTTAAAGTATATAGTATACAGATATATATAAAAACATATATATATACTTACATACTGTACATAAAAGCAACCTGTATACTATATAGATATATATCTGTATAGTATCTATATTTATATATAGATAGTATATGACTATCTGTATATACTATATATATAACTATCTATGCATACTGTATACAGATAGTTATATGCTATATATATTTTTTTTTTAATATATATCCCTGGGCTGGGAACCAATGGGGTCTGTGGCTCGGTAAAGGCGATGCCCTTAGCTGCAGATGGGACAGGACCCAGCAGGGAGATGCAGGGTGGGAGGGATGCAACTACCAAACACATCACTTCCAGCACCCTCCAGAGCCTTCATGAAGTATTTTGAGATGTACAAACAATGGCAAAATCAGCTCTTGCTCCCCAGCGAGACCCTGCTTTCCCCCTGGAGGGCTGTGGTGAAGGGCAGCCAGTTTGGGGGGGTGGGATGGAGTGGTCCCGGCTCAGCATGCATGGTGCG